GAAAGCAAGAAATCACCCCCCAGGGGGGATGGCCATGCCGCAATCTCTTCTCCTCCGTTCTCCTCTCGGGATCTTGGGCATGTACGCACACGTACCCGGTGTGAGTTTTAAGCTACTGGATCCAGGACGCAAACCACAGTCGACTACATGGGAGTCCAGCGACATAGCCATTACGCTAACTGCTGGTGCCCCTAGCACCAGTCTGGGGTAGGATTTATTTTTCTACCTCCAGCCTCAGATCAGAGGCTGATACACAGAGAAGCCACACAGAAAAGTTACTGAATAAAACTGATCATTGGTGAGGAAGGAGAAAAATAATTTCAAATAAGATACTAATGCCTTAGTAAGAGAATCTTAAAAACTTTTGTTAAGTGACTTCAGGGCCATCTAGGTGACATGGTGGTTAAGGTGGCTGGATTCCACGTGGCCAACTATGTGTTTTGTGACCCGGACCCAGTGGCTTGAAAAACACTCCAAGTCCAAAATCCCGATAATGGAGGAAAAGGGATTGTGGTGCATCATTCCCTGGGGAGGTGAGGGGGTGCTTTCTCACTTTTCCTCTTTCTGTCCCTCTCCAGAAAGTACATGAGCCCTATAGCACATTGAAAAAAAAAAAAAAAAGACTTTCAATTTTAAAATGTCTAGGTTTCTTTCTGTCTTTCAATTTTGCCAAAGGGCACTTGCACTTGCTAGACAGAGAAACAGAAAGAAAGTGAAAAAGCACCTCCCTAAGGGATGGCCACACTGCAATCCCTTCTCCTCCCCTATTTCTCCTTCATTTCGAAAATTTGGGCATATACACACACACCTGGTGTGGTTTCAGGGTCCAAGACTTGAACTGCAGTCCTTTAGCTGCCTTAACCACCATACCTCGGGCTGGCCCTAGGTCTCTCTTAAATCATTTCATCCTAACCCACAAACTACAAAGACAGTGAATAAAGGGAGACATGGCTGAGAGAGGAGAGGACAATCTCCTAATCACTAAGGAACCAAATATTGAGCTTCTTGAGAAACCAGGTATCCTGACACCCTGCCCCATGCTTATGCAGTCATATCCCAAATACTCTTCCCACCCTCATCAGGCCCCACTTTCAAGTCAGACCTATGTGAAGAGGCTGTAGACAGATATTAGAGAACCTCAGGGTTCTCCTCTTATCTCTGAAACTTAGATGGGTTGCCAAGTTCCAGAAAGGTCAAGGACTTCTCAGGATCAGGATGTCTATCAATGGCTAGCTGAGTCCAGACAAAGAAGTTACAGGGAACTTCTAGAGGCATTGGAATGAGAGGGAGGAACTTGAATTTCTCCTCTTCCTGGGTAACCTTGAAGAAAGAACAATATCTCCTTGACCCTGAAGAAAACCATTGTGGTCAAGCTACTTTAGGTCTTAGAATATACAAACTAATACAAAGCCTAGATCACCTCAACCTGGGTTGTGCAAAGTACCAACTCAGATGATTAAAAAGGTTGTGGTAGCTAAGGTGTTGGACACTCCCACATGGCTGACCACAGTTCAAGTCCGGGACCTGGTAGCTTGCCTTCTCATTTTTTTTCTCTCTCTCTCTGGTCAAACTAAAATAAATGAATGAATAAATAAAATTAAATAAATAATTTCTAAAAGGGTCTTAAAATAACAATTTCCAATTCTGAGATCCCATCTCACTGACCCTGTATGTATCTGTAGGTATCCTCTCCTTAATGCCCATCCCCACTAGAAAACTGG